TAGCTATGGCAATAGCAATAGGTGTTTTAAAACTTGACTAAGGGAATTTGGAAACTTCTGGTACAGTCATACTATAGAAAAGGCAAGATGAAAAAAAGTTTAGTCATAAGCGATGACATCTACAGAAAAGTAGAAGAAATATGAATACAGCAAGCCTCAATAATAATTCATATTGGTCACATAAATAAATAATATTTTCACAAATACAATAAATGCAGCTCAGGGATCATGCGCTTGCCACTCGACTTGCTTACGTCCAGGGAGAAGAGTGCTTTGCGAACCGAGCGCTGTGTAAACCGAACATCCGGCATGGAGCACTCACATCGCGGGATGGTCGGCGGTGTGTTCCCCCCGTCATCTAGAGTCGAGTTGGACGCAAAAAGAGAGCTCAACAGATCGGCTTTCTCCTTTGCGGCATGGGCCAGTGAGTCGTCCTCCCTGTGCAGAGATGGAAGAGATGGCTGACAGAAGTCCCCTTGGACAGCCTTGGCGAGAGACCAGAATGCACGGGTTCCCGAAGGAAGGCGAACTAGCTTCTCGCCAATTCTGCCGATGTGCTCAGACCTTGCCTTGGCAATGACGCTTTTGAAGGACCTAGAGGCGGAATTATACTTCTTTTTAAGTGCGCTGGTGTTTACATCCCGAGATGTTGATGCGTCAGCCCAGGACCGGTAGCACTCCTGTTTATAGCGTGATGCTATTTTACAGGAGCGACCAAACCATGGCTGGTATCTGCCTCCGATGGGCACCCCAGAGGGTGGAATAAAAAGGTCCATACCCTGAAGCACCACATCAGCAACAGAATCGGCAACAACGCTGGGATCTTCCGGCGAGAAGCAAACTCGCCCCTAAGGGTACGATGCAAAAAAATACCGCATCCCGTCCCAATCAGCTGACCTATAGTGCCAAACACGGCGGCAAGCTGCAGATCGCAACTGCGATTGGAGCGTGAGTGGCACCGTACTCTGCATCAGACAATCCGAAGAGCCCAGAGGGACATCAACGGAGACCTGATATCCGTCCGGATGAGAGGTCAGCAGAAGGTCCAACAGGGAAGGTACATGGTCTTCCACATCTGGGATCCGCGTAGGCGAAGTAACCAGTTGTGTTAGACCATATGCCAAAGCAAAGTCATAGATAGATCTACCCGCATGATCGGTTAAACGAGAACCAAGCCATTCATCGTGGTGGGCGTTAAAATCACCGAGTATCACGATCTCTGCGGATGGGACCTGTTGTAGCACAGAGTCTGCAGCCATTTGGACGTGGTCGATGAATCGGTCTGTGTCGGCATTACCGCTATGGGACCTATAGAGGCACCCGTAGACGCGGGGATGGTCGTCGCTGTCTACGTGCAGCCATAGGATGGACAGGTCCGTACCTTCAAGACTGCCGAGGTGTCGAAAACAGATGTCCTCTCTGACGTATACGAAAACCATGGCACAAAGGAGTGTTCCAATTTGTACCCCGGGTAGGACAGATATGAAGTATCAGCCGGAGAGGACACCTGAGTCTCGGTTAAAAAGAGCAAGGCCGGCTTCGCCGTCTCTAGATAGTAATGGACAGCATTAAGGTTGGAATGAAGTCCCCTGATGTTGCAAAATTCACGAATAGCGTGACAGGGGTCGCCTTGGTTGTATTGCTCCGCTTGCCCCGAGCAGCATTAGTCGCGAGCGGCATTTTGCACCCCCAGAATACGTGGGGCAGCCTGAGCACCCACGTTCAGGAGTGAAGTAGTTTTTACGTGGATACTCAGCGAGGGATTCTCCATGGGTGCTGGTACCCTCCTGGGGTAGTCTTTTATTTAATTCCACTACCATGTTGATGGGGGGGGGGGAGGGATTGGGCCTCCGGCCACCTGCACTCACCAAGCACAACGCAGAGGTAAACCTCTACTTCACGCTGGTATTCTGTGAGGGCGTGTTACCACCCCGTTCGAGCTGGCCCATCCGTGCGACAGCAAAAGCTACCGCTTAGCTCTACCACTGTTAAAAGCTATTCTATATATGCTGCTTTAACTTCGGAACTTTATTAGTGCGATTTAGGCTTCGATGTGTTTCGCTTGTGGCACGACGACAGCGCCGCCACATCACCCCCCTGCTCAGACCGGAGGTTGATAGTGCAGTCTAGATATCGACGAATTTGCAAGTGCCAGGGAATCGCCTTGTAAGTCGAGAAGAAGGCAAGTAATCTGCGAGAGTGCCGTGATCAGAGGCGAACAGTAAGCCTCAGAGCCGTGCCGAACACTGTAGCGCAGAGAGTAGCTTGAAGGAATAGGAAACATTATTATTCAAGGGCTGCGATGAACTTTTGTAGAACTAGATAGCTTGCAGAATGTGAAGACTGCAGACAATATCTGCTCGGGAGCGAATGAATGGGGTACTTGAGGACGATGACGAAGGTTTTGAAGTTGTAGTTTCCGAAGGTTGTTGGTTGCATGTTCATATCACGTCGGGGTCACCACTGTAGCCTGTGAAAGGAAAAGGGGAGATCTCCCGCCGGACAAGGTGTTCTGCCCGGGGAGTGGCCAACGCTCCAATTGGTAGTTCCGAGCTATTCTATATATGCTGCTTTAACTTCGGAACTTTGTTAGTGCGATTTAGGCTTCGATGTGTTTCGCTTGTGGCGCGACGACAGCGCCGCCACAGGGACGTCCCACACTTCGTCCACCAGTACGAGTCCGTCACTCGAGAACTTTTTCCCCATCGGTTGTCGGTTCTTCGAGCTACATGGTCGGCCCATTGCCACTTTAGCTTACTAATCCGTTGGGGTATGTCGGTCACTCTGGTTCTACTGCGGATATCCTCATTTCTAAGTTTATCACTCAGAGAAACTCTTAGCATAGCCCTCTCCATAGTTCGCTGAGCGACCTTAAGCTTCCTCATCCGGCCAGCAGGGAAGGACTACTTCTCAGTTCCATAGGACGAGAAAATGTGCTGTAATTTCCCGAACGCTGCCCAGCCAAGTTGAATCCATCGATTGACCTCTCGGTCGAAGTTGAACTTACCTAGACGGACTATTTGTCACAGGTAAACATATTCGTCAACAACTTCGAGCTTAGTGCTCCCAACAACTACCGGCATAGGTGTGACATGAACGTTATACATGATCTTTGTTTTATCCATGTTCATTTTAAGACCTATCCGTTGGGAGGCACTATTCAGGTCATTGAGCTTAGTGTTTTTTAGGTCCTCCAGCGATTTTACCATAAGGACTATATCGTCGGCAAATCTAATGTGAGTGAGGTACTCGCCGTTGATGTTAATACCGTTCGTAAAGGCTTCGTAAAGGCCACATACACTAGATATAGTAGCAAATTGTACTCCTCGGACTTCTGTACAATTCTCCGTAAGTTATATAGGTGGTATATGGTGCTAAAGGCTTTTCGGAAACCGGCTTGTTTGGGAAGCTGGAAGTCGTCAAATCTGTGTGTGAGACGATTCGTAATTACTCTCGAAAACAACACGTAGACTTGCTTCAAAAGGGAAATCGATCTGTAGTTCTTCAAGAGAACATTATCGCCTTTCTTGAAGAGCAAGACCATGATACTTCATCACCACGCCTCCAGTGTAGTGCTTCAAGTATCGGTTGTCCACCCGCTTGCGGAAGCTACGCTGTAATTCCTTCTTAGCCTGGGGCTTTGCCACTTTTATGGTGCTGAAGAGTCATTCTAATCTCGCTCAGACTGACGTCCAGGATATCATCGGAATCGGAAAAGACTTGCTGTTGGATCGTTACTCACACTCGCGTGTGGCTCCAACGATGATGTGTACAGCTGCCCATAGAACCTCTCTGTCTTACTCAAAATCTCAGGTGTCCCAGAAACGACGGTGCCATATTCGGTCTTCAGCTTCGACAGTTGGCTCTTTCTGGCTGACATATCTCTGGCAAAGATTTTGGAGCCCTGGTTCTACTCGATCGCTTCTTCAATAGGAGCAGTATTAAAGTTTCGTAAGTCCCACCGCATGCATTTGGGGATCTGTTTGTTCAGTTGCCTGTATGCTGTCAAATCTACTGAAGACTGCAGCTTCATTTTCCGTCTAACAGCCACGAGATTAAGAGTGTGATCGGAGAGTTTTTGTGTTCTTCTGCGGCGGGTCTTGCAAAACTTAGCTCCGACCGCAAGGATTGTTTCCACGAGCTTGTCATTTATATCGTCCACTGCATTGCAATCTTCTAGGCACTGAAGACGGTATTAATATTTAGCAGTTAATATGAAATTTCCAATTACCTGAATAATATAACGATATAACAATGCTACCATTATTAGCGGGTTTGCGCTATTGGTACCGTGCATGTTAACGGTACGAGCTCGATGAGCCGCCATTTCTGATCCCATTCTTTATTCGTACGGACTATATGTATATAATATATTCTTATGTCATATTATATTGTGTTTATTTTTATTTTACTAGGGAATTAGTTCCTGGCTCTAACGATGGGGTGAAAATTTTGGATTTAGTGTAACGCACCGTCGAAGATGCAAGGTTTATGCTAGCAGTGGGAAGTGAAAGTCTACATAAGTATGATTTGTGATGAAAACACTATGAAACTTGGTAACTAGATTCTTTTTGCACATTATTGATAAAGTTATTTTGTTTTTATTTTTAAGATAAACTACTAGAATCTGCTAACGAAAAAGTGGAGCGATTATCTCTACAAAATAGTAATATATAATTTTATTATATGGAATTTTAGGATATGATCACAAACTGCAGACTTTCCGGAACGTTGGTGTTTCACGTCAATTAACTTATTAATAAAATATAAGTTAATTAAACGCGATAGAATCCGTACATGTGGTTTTATACAAATACCTTTGTTATTATATCTTAAATTTCATACAGCAAACTTATAAATGAAAATTAAATTAAATTTTGAACTTAAATACCCAGTCAGGTCATAAATTCTGTCACATGTTTAATATAAAATAATTGAAACAAGTTTATTCATAATGTAACCATTTATACACCAAAATGAACTTAACAAAACGTAGATTCTTATGACACTAAAGTTAATTCAAAATGACCTCCGTGATTTTGAATACAGGCCTGCAATCTGCGCGGCCAGTCGTCTATCGCAGCACGAACGAGGTCCATGTCAATATCGGCTGTTGCCTTAATCAAGGATGTCTTGAGTGACACCAAATTGGGATGCGGCTTTGAGCACGCCTTTTCTTCCAAGTGTTGCCATATCTTGTAATCTAACTGATTCAAATCTGGACTGGAGGAGGGCCAGTCTTCGTGCCGGATGAAGTCGATTTCACGCGCCGCCAGCCAATCTTGTGTGCTCTTCGCTCTATGAGCTGGCGCCGAATCTTGTTGGAATACCCAGTGCCTGTTATTGAACATGGTATGAGAAACAGGTTCCACAAGGTTCGTCAGGACTGTATTTTGATACACAACTGCATTCATTTTTACACTTTTCTCACAAAAATGTACCTCTGTTAAGCCCCAATAAGAAACTCCCAACCATACAATGAGCGAGGATGGAAAATGACCTCGTTGGACACGCGGAATACGGTTGCTCGCTTCTTCACTAATGTGTGCGTACACCTTATCATTTTCTTTGTTGTAGCTCTCTTCTACGGTAAAAATTTTTTCATCCGAAAAAAGAATTTCCTGATATTTTTTTCCCGCGTACCGCTTCAACAAAGCGCGGCATCTCTTCAGTCTCAGGTCCATTAGACGAGCATTCAAACGATATCCTGTTTTTCTTCGATATGCCCGAAGCCCTAAGTTTTTATTTATCACCCTTTTCACCGTGGTTCTGCTTAACCCCATCTGAAGGGCAAACAGTTTCTGCTTACCTTTGGGATTTCTTGGAATTCGCGCCTTCACAGCTTATATCACTGCTGGAGTCCTAACAGACCGAGGGCGAACACTTCTTGACCTGTCATCTACACTAGAGTCTTCATTGTATTGTTTGATGGTACGATAAACGAATCTTTTGGTTATATTCAAATTTTTCAGTATGCCTTAAATTTGAATTGGCGCGTAACCGCAATAACTGCAACACGGTCTTCTTTAAACGTCAACTCCATATTTAAAAATGAGTAAAATTCTAAAAAGTATACAGTTTTATTTTCACGAACAATTCGAAATTCGAATTCAATAAACTTTTTTGTGGCCAGCATTATAAAAGAAAAGTTTTTACTGTGTGACAATACTTATGAACTGCCTAGGTATATTTGTAATCGTCATATACCCAATTGTATATTTGTAGAAATGGGTTTCGTTCATTTTACACCATTTAAGTCATTTTTTTCTACTTTTGTTTGCCGCTCGTTGCTAAAAGATATTGAATATCGAATAAAAATTAACGCATGCAAAATAACACACAATCATGCAATATATGATTGTATTAAGTCTAACAAATTATTCGATAAATCTACGCAAACAGAAGAATATATTATTTCTAATAATAAGCACTTAGATTTCTTTGAATATAAATACATCTTCCGACATTGTAAATAATGATTATAATCAGTTTTTTCTTGTACAATAATATAACTTTGCTTCATCAACACATAAAAGGACTCATAAGTAAAGCTGAGTTATTAACAGTTACCCTAAATTTTTTATCACAAAATAATGTATCTATAGATGTACTACGTATAACGGAACACATCATGAAGCATACTGATGCAGAATTCTTTAATAGTCTGTCATACAAATTACCTTCATTTTATGCAAGGGATAATAGGAATAGCGGATGTTGTATACTGATTAGGAATAATTCATACTTACATTCCTCTTAATAACATAAATAACCTATCTATAACTAATATCTTTGAATGATGTGCTTTCGAGCTTACCGCCCATCAAACTATTACTATGTGTATTTACAGAAGCCCAAGAACCAACAGTCAATTCTATGAAATATTTTTTGTAAAATGGATACAGTGCTAAAACAATTTGTTTTAAACTAACAGTTAAAAAAAGATAAAGTTACAGCCAATATACAAGTCCCACTGCTGGGCACGGGCCTACTCTCATTTCTTAGAGGGGTTTTAGGGCAAGGAAAGGTCCGCCGCGCTGCCCCAACGCGTGTTGGCGAACTTCACATGTCTTCAAAATATTTTTTTCAGACACATTTTCTTATTTATCAGACATGCAGGTTTCCTCACGATGTTTTCCTTCACCGCTTCAACCAGGGTTGCTCGCGTACTGTGAAACTTACAGCGAGCGCTAACCATCTTTTTTTTATAGAAAAAAGATAACAAACGGGCACATAGTCCACCTGATGGTAAGTGGTTGCTATGGCCCATAGACATCTACATCTATCTTTGCTTGCGAATTTAAATGCAGATGCGTTGTCAGCCGTGAAGACTAAGATGGAATGCCTCTTTTCCCGTAAAATGGGTCTCCGGTTCTCTACACTCACCATACGAAACACAGCAGCATTAAGCTGCTACTTAACGCTGGTATTCTGTGAAAGCGTTGTCCTTCCCCGGTCGAGCCGACCCGTTCGTGCTACAACTATACTATTAATATAGCTGTAGCATGGCTCTCCACCTATAATAGCTACCACGGCTCAGATGGTTAGCGCGTTTTGATGATGTGACCAGTGAGTGACCGTGATGGTTACTCACGGTTTTAAACTAAATAAAAAAGTAATTATTTGCGGCAACTTTAATATTGACATAATGAAAACAAATAAATACTCTTAAAACCTGTACACAATCAACAAATAGTTATAATTTAAAATTGCAAAAAATGGATTACAAAAGCCATAAAATTTTATTGTAAACGTAAGCGTCACCTTTTATAGCAATATAGAAGAGATCCTAATTAAAACAATAAGAATATGCTTAGGACTTATTCAAACAGATAAAAAATAAATATGTTAATACAAAAAGCTCAAAACAATCGCATTGTCAACTTATCACTTCATAAGACAAAAACAACTTGAAAAATTGTTAATATTTACGCAAAAAATTAAAATAAAGATTTTAGTAGAAATTTAATAAGACGAATTAAAATAAATAATAAATTTATAACAAAGGTGACAAAAATAATAATAAATACAATTCATTTTTCTTTAATTTGTACACCTAATGACATTCTATTAACTATAAAATTATTAAAAAACTCAAATAGCATTTGTTTTGATGGCATTTAAATGAAAGTGATGAAACACGTAGGACAATTGCCCCCGTAATGAGTCATATTATAAACCTATGTGTTGAAGATGGTGTATTTCCTGAAGTTCTTAAAACGTCCATTATTAAACCACTATTTAAAAAAGATGACAGGGTGTACTAATCCTGTTACCATCCGATTTCTATGACTTCTATATTTTCAAAAATTATAGAAATAGTAACTTAACTTATCTTCACGCACAATCCCTGACGGGGTAGCCAGAGAGAACAGATCGCCAAGTGTCACGATCCTTACAAACCTCTTTCGCTTCTTTCAGATTCATTATCTTCTTCATGCATGCACGTCTAAGTATCCGAGTACTTTTGACCCTACCCTCTTCGAGCAATTTGCTCACATGGTCTTCGAAAGTTAGTCTCGGTCTACCTCGACACCTTTTAATATTAACTTTCGCGCTATATATTTTCTTCACCATTCGGTCTTCACTCATTCGCTCAACGTGCCCAAACCACCGAAGCACGCCCTTATTAATTTTTGTGATAAGGTCATCTTTCAAACCTCCCATATTGCGAATCTCTTCGTTTCGCTTTCGGTCGGCCATGGTAACGCCGCACATTTTACGAAGAGATCGCATCTCCACTGCATTCAACTTACTTTTATGCTTCTTCTGGCATACCCAGGTTTCGCTGCCATATAACAAAGTCGGTACCAACACTGCGTTATGTATTGCAAGGCGTGCACTCTTCGCTACGCCTTTATATAAAGGTAAAGGTTCACATTTTGACTGCGGGTGCTATCGGGCGATCAGCTTGACCAGTTTAGCAAGTAAAGTTTACTCGAAGGTTTTGACACGTAGGATGCAAGAGAAATCGGAAAGATTTCTATGGGAGGCACAATGCGGATTTAGACCTGGGAGAGGATGCACGGATCAAATGTTTTCTCTCCGCGTGATCACGGAGAAGCTTCTGGCTGCTAACCAGAAGATTTTCTGTGCTTTTGTGGATCTTGAGAAAGCATTTGATAAGGATGTAAGGAAGAAAATGTGGGAACTGTTGCCGGGGTATGGTGTGGATGGTCAATTGCTAAGGGCTGTGCAGTCTCTTTACTGTGACTGTAAAGCCTGTGTACGGGTAGGGCATGACCTGTCACCCATGTTTAACGTCCAAACAGGCGTAAAGCAGGGTTGTGTCATGTCTTCCTGGCTGTTCATATTGTATCTCGACAGCTGTTTACAGAAGCTGAAAGATAGTTGTTTGGGTGTGAAATTGGGTGACGTAAAAGTAAATTGTCTGCTGTATGCTGATGATGCAGTGCTTATTGCACCATCAGAGGCAGAACTGCAGGCATTAGTCACGTGTATGAAAGAGGAATATGAAATTAAAGGTCTCCGTTTGAATGCTAATAAAACTAAGGTTCTGGTATTTGAAAGGGACGAAGAGAGAACGAAGTGTGAAATATGGGTAAATCAGGAATATCTAGAACAGGTAAATGAAATTGTATACTTGGGGAGTGCTTTTAGCCGGGATGGAAGATGTGATTTAGATGTGGACAGGCGTGTCGCTGCCGGGAACAAAGTCAAAAGAAATAGTAATTCAATATTTTTCCAAAAGAACAAAAATACTTTCGTAGAAACAAATCTATTAATGTAGCAATTTATAAATTTTTATACCAATTATTTACAAAAGTTAATAGAAAAGTACCAGTAACAGATAGAACTTTCAAAGGCTTTTAGTGATTTTGTCAGGCATGACTTGTTAATAATAAAATTAAATAAATAAGGTATAAGAGGCAAGACACTTAATCTTATAAAATCCTACTTGCCAAACAGGATTCCAATTACAGGTTTTGTCCAAAGACTAAAAATGAATATATTTATTGGTCTTATTCTCGATTCCCAAATTTTAGTGTTCCTCAAGGAAGCGTACTTGGTCCTTTATTATTTTAAGTGTATTATATTAACGACTTACCTAACAGAGTAAACTATTACAGTTATATATTTGTAACTATAATATTTGTATACCTAAGGGTTGAATGCAGCGATCATCATTTTTTTTAAAGATATATTCTGTCTCATCACCTGTATTCAAAAATAAATAAAATTTGGGTTCGAAATTTGAATAAAATTAAGATTTTTTGTGTACGATAAGTATAATTTTTCTACCAACTTAAAAAGGAGGAGGTACTCAATTCGTCTGTAGATTTTTGTATGTGTATTACCTCATAACTTTTTCCTGCGGGAACCGATCTCA